GTCACACATCTCACAAAATAATCAGCAGTACTCTCTGCAGCACGTTTGCTCTCCCATTCAGTGCCTGTAGATGGTAAATGTTTTTGGAATTTTACCATAATAGATTCTAAATAAAACATTTCGTAGTTCTCCCCCTGAAGCATCACTTTTACATTGAAAATAATTTTTCCCATATAAACAGATGAAGTCAGTCAGGAGCCCTTCTGGAAATAATATATTAACTTGCAGTACATGCAGCTGAATCATGTTAAAACACCACAGATCGTGCGGCGTTGGCATGGTTTGTAACGAGGAGGAGGAGCTTTTCTTCGCTGTAAGTAGGAGCGTATGCATGCTTGGCAGTGAGGTACCACGGAAATTTGGATGGGTTGGTGTGTGAGGGGCATCAGGATCATTTCAGTCTCAGGAAATCATTCTCGAAGGTAATGCTGCAAGTAGCTACAGCTACAGATCTGAACTTCCAGAAGATGCAATTCAGTAGCTGTGTGCAGTATGCCACAGTGACCACTGCTCTCCTGCTCCAGCAGAAGGGCCGCAACGCAGTGCTGTGCTTTGTGCAGGGATAGGGTTGCATTGTTTGCATCTTGCAACAAGATAAGATAATAGCAGATTGTGTAGTGGTGTAATTGCGGAGTGATAGGTCAAGAGTAGGCTGAGGGTTGTTTTACAGGCACAGAAATTGATCTTCAGTTGCTTAATTGCTTCGAACGACGATGTTGTGCCAGGCACTGCCTTTCCCTGCCTGGTGGCTGTCACCTTTGTGAAGCGCTGGAGTGACCTTGTGCTCAAAGTTGTCTTTACGGACAAAGTGGAAGGACACTAAAATACAGCAGAGCCAAGAAATTAATTTTAGTATAATTGACATCTGAGAGTCGAATTGTCATTAGTCCAGATTTGTTCCAGAAAATAAAAATGAATAATGCCAGTAAAGATGTTCTATGCACACTTAGTAGTCTCTGACCCTTTTCCTCAGCCTGTGCTGATCGGTGCTGTGCAGCTGGGAGCATCTGGTGTGCATTCATCAACACAGCATGTATGGGGACCAAGCAGTGGCTGTGAGCACAGTGAGGGGTGGGTGCTGCATTTCAGCAGTGCCAGTAGTCATGAGTGTGGCATGCAATCTCTTGTTCATCACAAACTAACATGCGTAACTGATGGTGGTGACTATGTTGGAAAATAGCGATTTGTGTCTGAGCACGTGCTCTATCCAGCAGCACTGATGTGCTTTGTAGTTGCTGTAGTTTCTGGAAATAAATAGGAGGTGTTACTTCTGGAGTGCTCCAATTTGTCAGCACTGAAGGAACAGGTGCACTCACCAGAGCAGAACGGCATCCAATGAGGAGGGCAAGGAGGTCTGAATTAGCAGTGTCTGTAGTTTTTGAGTGAAGCAAAGAAATTTTGATTGAAGAAGCTGCATCCATTGACCTGGAATGCCACAACAGTGAGAAAAGTGAAGCAGGTTCCTATTTTCTGTTCAGTTGTTAACTTTTTCTGTACTCTCAGTTATTTTTGTGTTGCTATTTGAGACTTTTTTTAGATGGGGATGACATCTTTATGTCAAGATTTTTTAATGATCTTCACATGTGGAAAGCTTTAACAGGCAGTAATACTACAGATGATTTGGTATAGATGCAGATAAAACCGATGATGCCTCCGTACCTTTTTCTGTATGCAGAACAAGTGTCCTTCCTGCAGTCTCAGTCGATAGAGGGAGCTCTGACTTTTCAGAACATCTGTATGCAAACAGTTCACTTCATCTATCCTGAAAATAAATTGGTTTGTGCTATTGAGTTGGCTTTCAGAAATACGGGATGCTGTCCTCACAATGACTGAGAGAGAATCATGCTCACACAGCACTGAAACTGAGTATTTTCTGTGAAATGTAAATAATACAAAAGAAGCTTAAATTAAAAGATATGTAAATTTAAGCACCCTTCTTGAATCTAGTTTTGTTCTTCTGAAGCAACTTATGCACTGTTGTGTGCAGAGAACCATAGACTGACAGCAACAAATTTAGCTTTGTGCAAACCAAAGGGCTGGGCTGTAGGCATCAGTTCTTCAGGCCCTGTCTTATAAATGGGTGTGTTTACATTTATGCAGGCAGATGCTGCCTGGTTAATTGTCTGGCCATGGAATTGAGAGATTTTGTCCCCGGGACAAAATGCACGGGACTGGCTGTGGTCCTTAGGCACCATACCTTGCTGTTGTGGGTGGGGGGGCAGCAGGTTGGGGAGCAGTGGCTGCAGGTCTGCAACTGGGGGCGGTGTGGGGGTTTACAAGTCAGTGGCAAAGCTGCCGCGAGGGGCTCTGAGTGCTGCATGGAGCTCGCTGGGACACTGAGCTGGGAGCTGCTGTCCTTCACAAGGAGCAGTGTTGTGCCTGTTAGATAATGGGGATGGCAGTGGACTTATCTGACCCCTAGAAATTGTAATCAGAGACTGTTGAAGGAAACAGATCTGGTAGAGCATGTAGAGGTACGGGGGATGCGAGGCATTGGGCTCAGCCCCATACTTGCAGCAGGACCTGGCCGTGGCAGCGCTCACTGTGTGTGTGTGAGCATTTGACCACTTCATTGCATGGGACTCCCTTTTTGTAGTCTGAAATTCTTCTGCTGCTTCTGTAATTTTTTGTATCTCACATTACTAACGGATAAGATTATCTCAACCTCCCCTTGTACTGTCACTTGTTTCCTGCAGACAGCCCAGGTATTTGCGCTGCTGACCTACCCACAGCCTTGTCTTTTCTATTTTCCATAGCTGAATTCCACCTGCAGCATTCCTGTGACAAGAAGCGTGCACTGAGCCTACAGCCGAGGCACTGCACTGCACTCCTGCACCATGTAGATCAATGCATGTAGACACAATGTGAAAGGAAGGTGTTTAATTAGCTCTCAGTGGTTTCTCTTGTAATCCCATAGTCTATGATACGTGTTGCTCACTTGGTGTGAGCTCTTAAATCTTGCCTATAGCACAGCAGGTTCCCGCAAGCCGTGGGGCACTGAGGCTCAGTGAAGCAGCCTAGAATGGAGCTGCTGTTCAGGCAGCTCTGCTGTGAGGTCACTGCCAGTGTTCCTGCAAGGGTTGGTGGGACGGCACGCGCTTTGCTGTTATGCTCATGGCAGCAAGGCGCCTAAAAGGGCTGTGAATTGTACTGCAAGCGTGTGGCCTTGAGTCAGCTGTCTGAGGGGAGCACACCCACTTGTGCAAATCCCAAGGGAGCAGTCTTTGGTTAGCGTGGAAGTGCTGGTACTAAAAACTAACTTTTTCATCATTAACCTAAGCTTTAATCTAAGCAAATGATTTTAACAAAATCTCCCAAATTATAATTACAAAGGGAAGGAGATGTGTGGAAAAAAAATATTGATTTCTTCAGGAGTTTGAAGCTTTTGGAAGTCGTAAAACCATGATGACCGTGCAGTGATTAGAAGTGGATTTGAACTGTAGGGCTCTCACGTTTGGTTATAATGTTGATAAATGACATTGGAGAGTTTGTATACGTACCATAAATACAATATCATGCCTGACTTTTTCCACTTTCCAAGTTCCAAGTGTGTCTCTAAGCACACATGAAGAAGAACTTCAACCATGGGAGGAGGGTTGTCACAAGAATGCTGGAAAGCAGGGTAGAAAGCAATAAACGTGTGTCAAGTTCCTGGACACAGAGACTGTTCACAGTTACAGGTGTCCTGCACTAGGAATTAAATGATGTGCAGCAGGCTTCTGCAGAGTCAAACAGCAGAAGGTCAGCGCAGGTCAGCGTGGAGTGATGCAGCTGTAGGTGTGGGATGCCTGTGGTGCTGCTTTGTGCTCCTCCAGTGTGGGGAGCCTTCTGGTGTTCCATCCCTGGCAGCATTTGCTGTCAGCATTATGTGACTGTAGTAAAATCGGGGCCCGGTAGCTGGGTGGTGCACTGTGCATTCCCAGGAAGAATGGACATTCTGAAAAGGACCTGACGTTGTGGGAGGGAGCACTTTGTACAGAACACATTTCTGCATTGTGAAACCTCCGAGTTGGTAATGACAGGGCAGAGTGCAACCAAATCATGCTGGGATACAACTGCTGGGGTTCTCAGTGCTCAGGTGCACATCTTTAGATGTTAATTTTGGATGGTGGTTATAAAATAAAACTCTGTTTAATCTTTTTCTAACCCTCCCTTTGAGTTCTATATAGAGAACCATGCTGACCCTTCTCATAACCCTTCCTGGCCCAACTCTCTTCTGCCTTTACCCTCCAGGCCAACTGTTGACATTAAAAATAGGCTACAAACATTTTTCCTTAATAAGGCAAATATGCTGGCCTAAATCACCTGTCCTTCCACTATGCAGCCATGCAATAGAGCAGAGTGTCCTTTCCCAATACGTACTGCGGAGAGCAATTTTGTGTGAACTCTGTGTGCAAATTCTTCCAACTGACAGGCATGGCACAGGGTCCTGGGCCCTTGATCCAGTGTGCTGGAGCACAGCATGGGATCCTTGTGGCTTCCTTCCTTTTAAAGGAGGGTCTGAGCAGAGTGCTGGTGAGCAGTGCAGTGCTGGGTGATGCCTCTCTACCTGATATAGCCCAAACTCAGCTGGGATGTGCTCCCACCCCAGGTATTGAGAGCCGTTTCTGAGCTCCAGTAACTTTGACTGTAGTCTAGAGTTATTCAGAAGGTAACTTTGTGCAAGACTGCACAATGAAGGGGTTGATGCTATAGACTCTTAAATGTAATGATTAAAGGAGCCCTCCCTGCTGGGTTCATGGTGCAATTCTGTGCCTATGTTTGAGTTGTACTGAAAAAATTGTACCTGATATGTAAGTTCTCAGACAGAATATTGAGGATACAGTCAGACGTGTTGTCTCTTATTAGTGAATAAGAGGTTAGCAGAAAGGAAACAGAAGTGTGCAGCTCTAAAGGTGCTTTAGCTGAGATCACATAAATCATCCTTCAAAGCAGTTTCTTCTGGCACGATAGCATTCATACGCTAGAAGTGTTTAAGTTGTAGACAGTGAGAAGGAACATTTTTAAAACTTATTAAAATGTTTAATGTACCTAAGAAGTAGGAAAGCATTCCTGATATCTTCTCTAATATAAAATTTTCAGATCTCTTCAGAGTATCATTATTTTTGTTGTTCAGATGTTCTTGGTGTTTTCCCTTTAAATATTGCCGTTCTGCTTCAGTGGATCATTGTGCAGAAGCTGTGTCATGGGTGCTCCGTACAGGAGTGTCGCAGGGACCTGCTGCCATCTAGAGCAGAGCACACACACAAAAAAGCAGCTCCGAGTTGAAGGAACAGGAGAAAATGAGAGCAAAGTTGCAGGCAGAAGGCAATTCCAAAAAGGCTTGGAAATAAAATCCTATGAAGCCTGAAACCGAAAATGCTGAGATAGGGCTACTTAAGAAACTGACTAATTTCCAGGTATTTTGAGGCCTTCATTGTGTTTGTGCCTTTTGTTTCCCTCTGCTCCTTCCCGCGGAGGTCTGCTGGCCGTGCACGCGTACCTGTGCTGCAGATAGAGGGACAGAGCCCTGCGCTGCCTTCTGCGTGAAGATCATGCTGCATCCTTCACTCAGAGTGCTGGAATGGGAAAAGGAGCAAGTTAAGGGATCCAAAACCCACTCTTACCAAGATGGTTGGACAAGTGGGAGCACAGCTGGGTACATATTTGCGGTGTGGAGAAGCAGTGTTTGGTGGCGTTTACAGCAACTCCTCCGCGTGCGTTCCCATGGAAGAATTAAACCTCGCGCGCTGGAACGTGCGGAGGAAAGGACGGACGTGCGAGGCGGTGCTGGAACCGGGCCCGAGGACTCCGGCCTCTCGGAGCCCCGTTAGCGCAGGGCTGGAGCTTCGTCCTCCTGCAGCCCCGAGCGATTCGGGCCGCGTCCCACGCGCAGCAGAGCACCGCCACGCGGCGACGGTTCCGCGCAGCCGCGCTCGTAGCGCTCCGCTCCCCGGGGACGCCGCTCTGTTCCGGGACGGCGCCGCGGGGCTTCGGCCGGCAGAGCGCCTCGGCCGGGCACGGCGCGGAGCTCGGGGTGACCGTGCCGTGCGGGTACGCTCCTGCGGACGGGATCGGGGCGGAAGCGCTGCGGGAGCGGCGCGTCCGCGCTCCGGCTGCGGGCCGCCGGCGATCCGCCGCGGGCGGGGCGGGGCCTCGTGGGCGGGGCCGCCTCCGGTGCAGGCGCGGAGCGGTGCGGGCACGTCGCGCCCCGCCCTCCTTGGGGGCTGCCGGCGATGGAGCGGCCCGAGCGCTGAGGGCGGGGGGCCCGGGCCCGGCTCCGGCTCCCTGGGCTACGGGCGCTGCGGGCGCGGCTCTCCCGCCGTTCGCCCCCCGCGGAGCGGCCCGGCCCGGACCATGGTGCAGCGCTTCAGCCTCCGGCGGCAGCTCTCCAAGGTGGGTCCCGGCCGTTCTCGCGAGTCGACCTCCGCGGGGGGCTGGGGGCACCGCTGCCTTTTGTTCCCCGCGCAGACACAAAGGCTGGGTGGGACCTCAGGCGGCGCCCGGCGCGGTGCTGTGGGGCTCGAGGGAGGCCGCCGCTTCCTTGCCGATGTCGTCGGGCGCCGCAGAAAGGGGATGCGATCGTTATCGTTTGTGCCGGTGCGCGGTGTGCGGCGCTGCTGCCGCCGTTCCTCGGGCGCGCTGGGTGCTGCCGACCCGCCGCACACCTGCGGGAGCGGGGCCGGCGCTGTGCCGAGAACAAAGGCGGTGCTCCGAGCGTCTCGAAGAGCTGCTGCTGCATGCAGCCGTGCGGTTCTGTCACTGAATCGATCCAGCGCGTTTGGTCGGATAAACGTTTGGGAAAAACTGTCGGTCGGTGAATAAAGTGAGGCTGTGCGGTGCGGGGGATCCCGCCCTGCAGAGCCCGGCGCGGCCCCGCTCCCGGCACGGCCGCTCAGCCCCGCGCTGCGCTGCTGCGAGTTGCGGTGCTGCTGCACTCCGAAGTGCCGGGCTGCTTTGATGTTTCGGTTGAACTTTTCCCCCACGATACGTGTTTTAAAATGCATTTGTCAAAAATTTGAAGCGCTGTTGTAGGCACTATTTGAAATAGGTTAAAAATGCACACCCTCCAGATCACCTTGGGTGCCGATATGGTTCTGCTGCACCTTATTTGTTTCTGTTTCTCTGTGTCTCCTCATCTTGGAGAAATGGAGAGGACTGGTTTCGAGGTGGTACGGAAAGGAAAACTCGCTTCTTTGGGTCGTTTCCCTTGTCCACGTCAGGAGCTGTGCCTGCAGGCAGAGCTGTGTCCCTTCGGAAGGGAAGGTCTGGTCGGCAATGACTCTCGTGCACACTCCTGTGGACACTTACATGGGGCATCTCAAATACTTTTAAATGAACTCCTTTGGATAGCTCCATTTTAATTCTGTTTTATCCAAGCCGACTTTAAGCTAAGACTACTTAGCTTGGCTTGTAAATGATGCACAGGTTCTGAAGTATAGTGAACCAGAGGAGAAGAATCAAAACTCAGATTTGCTTCTCTGGCATAGGGAATTGTGCAACGATTCACTTGATGTCAGTTGTGCTCAGTCTTTGCACTTATTTAGCGAAACAAAAAGCACAGTGTATGAAGGTACAGTCAAAACATTGTTAATCCAGATTTGTCGGTGGTATCAGAACTGTGTTGTCTTCTCTCCTCGCTGTCACTTGGGATGGGAATGGGAAGGTTAGTTTGTGCTTGAGGCTTTGGGAAGAGGTAGCAAATGGCATATAAAGCACTCTGCTTTGATGGAGAATTTTGCTAATCTGTTTCTCAACCAAATTTAGTGACTGTTAGACCACCTAACACCTGATGTGAAAATCTTGACTCCTTGCTTGCTTACTTATATTTTGAAGTTGACAAATGTCTGTATGAAAGTTGGAGCACCTGCTGCTGAGTAGTACATCATTAAATGGTTCACGTGGGTAATGCAGCTGCAAAGTCAGAATTCTAGCTGCTAGCAATCTTTAATGATGGAGATTTCAAATGCAATGTGACTGTGCAGATTTGAGAGCTACAAGCTGAAAAGTGCTGCTGCTGCTGCTGCTTGGCACAAAACATCAGCTAATGAAGTGTAGAACTTCACACAGGAGAGTAGTAGGGCTTGGTGATATGAAGTTTGGCCTCAGCTGGTTTCACTCTTCAGAATGACTGCACCACAGGGCTTTCACCAAATTCTGTAAGCTCTCCAAGCCTCTGTCATCCTTCTGTGAATGGGGTTAATGCCTTTCTCTGATTTATGCAGTGGTTGTCAATTTTTGAAGTGCTGTTCTGGGGAGAGCTGCGTAAGTGTTCCGCTTTGCACTGACTTTGGGAATGTTTGCATTTGAGAACCCATAGATATCAACAATTTCGGATAGTTTCACACAGACCCATCTTCAAGTGTTACTTCTTATTTCACATAGGCCAAGTCTGCCTTGTGTTTGTGTGTGACTGCATGGTTGCTGTGTTAGTTCGCCAGCTTAAACATCCATAACTATTAAAAGCAAGAGCCACAAATTACTGCACCTTTATTGCTAGGACTTAAGGCAAAATACCTGATGGCTTTCAGCTTAGTTTGACAAATATCTTTCTCAGTCCAAACTAAGATTGTTCATTTTGTCTCTTTTTTTTTTTTTTAATGTTTTATTTCTTCACCATCACTACCAGAAATATTTTCTCGGACTGTTGGAGGTCCTCGGACTGCTGTTACTCAACCCTCAAGAAGGGCCACTGCTGTGTTACGGTTTAGTTGGGGGATTCCTTTGCTCTTGGAATGACTGTACAAAATTGTGCAGCTTTTCACTAAGCTGATTTTGTTCTGGATGTTTGAACTGAGTTTATGGAAGTAAAATAATGCAAATAAAGCTTCTTCAAATACAGTTCAGTCTTCTAAGTTAAAATACTTACGCTTACTTTTAAAAGCCTGCTTTCCCAGGAAAGCTTTGAGGATGAGCCGAATCAGAACTCCACCCAGATGTGAAAGCACTGGCACAGACCAGATTCAATTTAAAGAAAGAGAAGGAAAAAAAAAAAAAAGAGTAGTTTTTGTGAGCTGCAATGGTATTTAATTATTTTAACTCGCATGATAATGTTGTTTAAACGCTGTAGACTGAACTCCTTTGCTCTTGGTAAACGGGCTTATCGCATGTACTGTCTGTACTGTGTGTTTGCACTAGTGTGGATTGAGTTTGTTTATGGGAGAGGAACTTCTAAGGACTGTGCCAGAGCAGGTGTGGATACTCTCACTTGAGCTACTGGATGTTGGCTTGAATCCGTGAAGGAAGTCTCGTCAGGTTGTCTGAAGCTGGAGTGTTTGGGTCGGCGGTTCTCTGGTGGGCTCAGCTCTGCCCTGACGGACCGCGCTGCCCTGTGCCTGGCAGGGGATTCGCTTCTCATTGTCAGCGCAGGGCAGGCGTTCAGAAAAGTCCTGATGCTCCCAGCAGAAAGGCTGGTTGGCTTCTGCTGGCTTTTCTGACTGTCCTCATGTAGACAGGCCGGTTGGAGGACGCCTTTGCATTACTCATCACATAATTTAGCTTTGAATCTGCTCCCACACACGTGCTCCTTAAGGTATACTGGACAGAACGCGTGGCTGAACAAAGCTGAAAGGCCGTGGGATGTAAGTAGTTCTCAAAGCACTGCTGGCCATGAGGGTGTGGAATGAGTACTGGCAACAACAAGGAATAGCCACGAACTTTTCTGGGTGGAATGGGGCACTCAAGAGAAGAATGAGCTTCCTCTGCATCATCTTGTTCCTAGAATGTGTGCGGAGATGTTGCGAAGATTACTTGCATCTTAGAAAAGGAAAATGAGCTTCGGGCCTTCTGCTTAAGAAAGCAGGAGTAACAGGTTTCATGAGGTGGTTGTCCAGGCTCAGTATGACTGCACTGCTAAAGCATTCACAAAGAAAAAATAAACCAGACTTGGAGAGTCTTCCCACATCCTGTTGTTGGTAATTAACAGGGGTTGTAAGCCTATATCTGCAGAGATATTCGAGGTAGGAATAGAGTTTTCTCTTCATGAAAGAAATATTAAAATAGTCCAGAGAATTACCTGTATACATGCCAACTGTGTCTGGTAAATTGTATGTGATAGCTTATTGCCAAATATGCTTACAGTGTTAAAGGATGTAAACGCAGTCTGTGGATGGGATGCAGCTTACATGAATTCATAGTTCCTTTTAATAATGAAATTCCGCAGCTTTTTGTCTGTCTGCTTTGTAGTAATATAATCATACTTCCTAATGGGTGCTTACATGGAGCTGGATAGCAATAACAATTGGAATTTCCTACCAGCAGTGGTCAGAGGAAGCATTAGAAGTGTTGGCGTCTTTATTCTGAACAAGTTACCGTTAGGGTCCTCAGGAGGATTGAAAGCTGTCATGTTTCCTGAGTTTCCCATTTTAAACCATTTGACTGCTTACTCAGCTAGAGTTTCTTGAGAGGCAGATAATGGTTTGCTCTCGTTTTGTAGATCTTTCCATTTTCCGCATGGCAGTCAATGATAAAAGTCCATAAAATGGTCCTTTTCAGAAAGGACAGAAAAGCTTTTGTCGCTTGAAGGTCTGAGACACCGGGGCAAAGTGTAGCAACAAGAGCATGGGCCGATTGGAGCGAGGCTGCCATGTGCATTGCACCTCGCTGGGCTGAGCCCTGCTGGCCGGTGTCAGTGCTTCTGTGTGGGGTAGGGAGGGCAGGCTGATGGCAGCGCTGCGTGCCAGGCCTGTGCCTGGCTTGTGCCGCACTGGGGCTGGGTGATGCCGTGCACCAGGGCCTGTGCCCGGCCCGGTTGGTGCTGCACCGTGGGACGTGTGGGACGCAGTGAGGCCGGCCTGCTGGATGTGGTTGCCGGCCGGCCCAACGCTGCAGGGCACAGCTGCAAGCAAACGTGGCCTGTCCTCTGCCTTTGCACTGATTGTTCAGAGAGAAAGCAGATAGCCCCTGCTTGCTGTTCTGCACAGGAAGGAAAACTCAGGGAGGGAGAACAAGAAAATGGCTTGGTAAAGAAGCCAGAAGGAGCCTAGCAGAAATGCAATGTGGGTAGACATGACATAGTCGCATATACTGTCTCCCAATGGAAATTAACTGTTAAAATCTCCTGAGCAGACTGGAACTGCCGTGGAGTTGTTGGAGTAGATCAGTGATTAGCTGAAATTGCAACTCGCACGTTCGGT